GGAGGACTTGCGCACCGGGACCGCGGTTACTCTATCCCCCTGGGGGGCCGCGACCCGAGGCCCTGGAGTGGCCGCGGTGGGCAGAGCCTTCACTCCTCCCACCTTCGCCTTCCCCGACTGTACCGCTTTTGGTCGGGAAAGCACCGCCTTCCTGCTGACCGCACTTCCGTGGAGGAACTCCTCCCGGAAGACGGCCAGCTTACTATCGATCATGTTCCCGATCCTCCTAAGAAGTGCGTCCTCTGAGGAGGATGGGGAACTATGCGCGGGCGGAGTGCGGGTGGAAGGGCCCGAAGGCACCTCCGCCGCAGCACTCCGCTTATTTTCCACCGCCGAGGATGGGAGGGAGGGCCGCGCTATTCCAGCGCTCCTCTGCCCTCTTCCTCCCCCGTCGCTCCTCCTCCAACAGGAGCTGCGGCCGGGCGTTCCGCCCGCTGAGCTCCTGCGCCGCCTCCCTGAGAGCTTCTGCCCCTTAAAGGAGCAGGCTGCGGCCACTTTCTCATAGCCCGGTCCACTCCATCGACGGCCTGCCCCGTCCGCTTCCTCTTGGAGCCTACGTGGCTCCTCGTGGAGGAGAAGGACGAGACTGACGCAGTCTCGTCGTTCTCCTCCGCCCTCCACGGGCGCCGTCACCCTAGCCCCAACACAGTCTTCGTTCTCCCCCTCCGCATAACCCGTCCCATCCCCGTTTTAGTTTCAGTTATAAATGCCATACTATTCCCACGCGTAGGTCGGAAAGAAAGGTCCACCCGCGCAGAGCCGCCTTACCCGGGTAAGCCTAATACTCCGGCGGTTCGACAGGTGCCCTCGGAGGTAGTCTCTTGGGATTGGGCCATGTCCCCCAACCATGCATCCCATCGCCGCGCACCATAGCTTAGGATTGGAGGGCGATTTTATAGAGTCGCCATACTCGTGGCCCAGGCAGTTAAGCCAAGCCCCCCGTTCCTCCTGCCGTCACGTACCATTCACAAAACCAAAAAAGGAATTTTGAGTGGGACGTTGTGACGACCAACAGGAGGCTTACGGTGTGATTAGCATCAGGTACTTCGGGGTCGCTACGCCCCGTACTGCGGCCGACGTTTGCCGGACGCAGCCCCTGGGGGGGAAGGAAATATGACCTTCGCAACCGAGGTAGAAAATAGAGTAGGCTGCAATGTCGAGGTGAATAATTGCGAAAATAAATTAGAATGGGTCTTAGATAGCGGATGTACGGATCACATTATAAATGATGATAAATATTTTGTAAGGGTTAATCAATTAAATAATCCGATAAGTGTAAAAGTTGGAGATGGTCGTACAGCAAAAGCAACTAGTGTAGGAGATATTATAACTAAGTTTGTAACAAATTATAATGAAACGGAAGTAGAATTAACAGACGTTTTTTTTTATAAAAGAGATGGGTAGGAATTTAATGAGTTTTGGAAAAGTCACAGATAAAGCCAAAATTGTTTCAATGGAAAATACTTCAAAGATTTACACGAGAGAAAATAATTTGATAGCAGTCGCGAATAAGGTGAATAATTTGTACAAGATAAATACCGTGTTTGAAAGTAAACAAAACTATGTAACCGAAAATGTAAAGAATGGTATGACGTTGAAGGAAAAATATCACAGAATGTTAGGACATATAAATTTTAAGTATTTGGACATCTTGAGTCGGAATAAGTTAGTCGAAGGACTACCGAGTAATTTAGAGAGCGAATATTTGAAGTGTGGTACATGTGTACAAAGTAAAATGACTAATACGAGTTTTGAAAATAATAGACATAGAGCAAGAAATATAGGAGAAATTATTCATGCAGATGTAAATGGGCCGCATAGTATAATTGGATTTAAGGGGGAAAAATATTTCTTAATTTTAATAGATGATTATAGTAAAGCTGCAAAGGTATACCCAATTAAAGAAAAAAGTGAAGTTTATGATTGTTTTCTAACTTATGTAAATCAATTAGAAAATTTAAGTGGATTAAGTGGAATTAAGCGATTATGATGCAATAACGGAAGAGAATTTTTAAATAAAGATATGTATAATTTTGCTAAAGAAAAGGGATTTTTTATTGAGCCGTATCCTCCGTATGTTCACGAATTGAATGGAACGGCGGAACGATACAATAGGGGTCGGTAATGGATACCGGGCGATGTTTATTATCCGATGCGAAAATAAATGATAGATTTTGACCGGAAGTAAGTAAAACCGCTGTTTATTTAAAGAATAGAACGTTGGCAAATACAATTGAGAAAAAGACTCCGTACGAAATTATGATAGGAGAAAAACCCGACATATTAGTAACTAAAAATTATATGAAAGTAGAGTTTTTGTAAGAGTCCCGGAAGTTAAAAGGAAAAGTAAGTGGGATAGAAAAACCGAGTTATGGGTATTGGTCGGTTACGAAGAAGTAGGTTATAGAGTTTTAATTAATAATAAAGTAATTATAGCTAAACATGTTGAGATTGTTGAAGAAAATGTAAATTTAGTTGGATTTAGAGATAACGAGAAAATTAATGAAAATGAGTTAAGTGAAAATGAGATTAATCAGTGTTGTAGATTTTATTTTATTGTAAGTAAATTTTATTTATGGACACGATTGTACAAAGAGTATGTATACAACTCGGCTGACGAGACGAAAGTAAAGTAGGAACCGAATAGAGCCGGAAATCGGAATCGAGTATGAACGCAAAAGGTCACGTGACACATTACATAGAGTTTGTACATATTACTCAGAGATGTCACGATTAGTATGATACAACAATCAGGAATGTAAAAACGGTATTGAGGAAAATGGAGATAACGATTCGGATGAAAAGGAAATGAATGAAAGTAATGAGCATGTGAATAATATACCAAGTGCTAGCGATAAAAATGTAACATTACCTAGAAGGTCAGAGAGGAAGGAAGGTCTTGTAAACAGGTATGGAAATCCGATAACGAATTGTATTTATGTAAATTACGTAAGCGTAGATAATCCGGAAAAGAATAATGAAGTGATAAATAGTAGCGATAGTGAGAAATGGCGAGATGCAATGAATAGAGAAATTGAATGTTTAAAGAAAAATGATACATAGAAATTAGTTGAAAAACCAGAAGATAAGAAAGTATTAGATTTAAAATTGGTCTATACAAAAAAGTCTGATGATAAATTTAAAGCTAAAATTGTAGTAAAAGGGTTTCAACAAAAGGAAATACTTGAGGATATTTATTCAGCTGTTGCAAGAACACAAACGTTAAAAATATTATTAACTTATTGCGTACAGAACGGTTTATGGATAGATCAAATGGATGTAGAAGCAGCATTCCTAAATGGAAAAAATTAAGTCCAAAGTATATGTAAAACAACCTCAAGGTTGACGTGGGAACGGCTCATTACCTTCGATTCGAGTGTGCTAACGGTGTTGATAACGTCAGTACCGTGAGAGAGTAGCGCATTGATAATCTGACAAAGATAGACGGCCGAAATTTAGACAGCGCAACGGAGCGACTAATGAGAGTACCACGGCGACGTATTCGGCTGTCAGTCGACACAGTCTAACACCGACTTCTGCCCTAGACACATCGGCTCCCGATCGTGTCCGTCCAGAACTCGAGTGCGAATCGAAAGAAGATATTCTTTTGAGCTAATCACATAGACTGCAATTTAAAAGGGTGTAACTGTAACGAGCAGATGTTCAGTCTGGTGTGGGTCCATCGATAGATCACGCACAGCTGAGAATTCGAAAAGCTCGAAAAAGCGTGGAATTTTATTCCCACTTTGCTTGACAAACGAATCGTATTCCGATTCGTACACGTGCACCCAAAACCTTCATTAATTTTAAATATTGCATAAATATTGCTGGGGGGCTCGAGAATACACCAATAAGGTGTTCGTTCGACCCTCCCTGGGCAAAATTTAACGGTCGTTTCAAGCGTATAAACGTTATCCGGTATCCGTCCACACTTCTTTGTAATTGCCATTCGGCTGAGGAGACACCGAAGGGAGGCACCTACGTGGTGTACATACCTCCAGGTGAACTCACTGTAGTCAGACGATCATCGACGTCCACTTAGAATGTATAACTTTCGGTCTTCGCCTCCTTACTTCTACAGATCCCGCCGGTGTAACGCTTAGAAGAGCACCTGTGCGGAGAGGTAACGGAGTCGTGGGTCAGGCCCCCACGTAATTCAAAGTACTGCTGCGAATCACGTCGAGTAGTGCATTCGTGCAGTGAACAACGTACTGTCGGGCTTCGCAGTGCAACTCTCGGCCAACAGGTCATCTGTTGGAACGTGTTAAGAGAAGCCGTTGCACTACAGTGCGACTCGACGCACAGACTCGGTGGGTATACTCACGGGATCTCGAATGCATTTGGAGCCTCCATTTGCACCCCCGTCCACTAGGCAATCGACAAGTTTTCGGCAAAAGAAAAGAAGTTTAATTCTTTTCTACGCCCCCAAATACAGTCCACTTAATAATTCGTAATTCGTAAATTACGAATAAGCAAATTCTCCGCTTCTGTACGTTCGAATTACGAAGCCAGGAAACGAAGCAAGAAACGAACGCGGCGAATATACGTGTAACGTGCTTACGTATGGCTAACACATAGCCGTGTTTTTCTGTTCAAAGGAATCATAGCCTACCTCAACCGGCGAGTGCGACGACCGAGGTCTCGCGGAACGGCCAACGATTAGGCGTCTAACAAATTATTAAATATTGGATTATTTTATTTTCGTTTCATTGATTTTCTTCTTTTGTTTATTTTATTTTGATAATTTTTGTAATAAACGGTCGACGATCAGCCGACGAAAAGAAAATCAATTTGGTGTCCAATTCACTTCCCCGATAAAATCCCATTCCTCTATCCGGACTTGTTCGTTAAAAGCATCAGCTTTTTAACAATCGATGACGTGTCAAGACGGTGGTGCGAAATCCATTTCCTAAAGGAACAAAGCGAAATTTTGGAAAAATTTGAAATATTTAACAACTCCATATAAAGACGCACAGGCGCACAGGCGCACAGGTAGGAAAATGAAAATTCTTAGATCCGACGACTTAGATACGGAATACAGAAACAATACCTTCGAGAAATTCTTGAGAGACGAAGGAATTGAACATCAACTGTCGGTAGAATACACCCCGGAACAGAACGACGCTGCCGAGCGTAAAAACAGGACGCTGGTAGAAATGGCACGTTGCATGATTAGTCAATCCGGGCTTCCTCCAACCTTTTGGGCTGAAGTAATTTTAACAGCAGCCTATATCAGAAATAGATGCCCATCGCGTAGCATCGATGGAAAAACGCCATACATTATTTGGCATGGAATATGTTCAAATGTACAGCATTTACGTACGTTCGGAACAAAAGTACATAACAATATTGGACAAGCGACCAAGAAAAGGAAAATTTGATTCAAGGTCAAAATATGGAATTCGAAAAGGGATACTCCACGCAGTCGAAAGCGTATAGGATTTGGGATCCTAAAAAGAAACAAGTTTTTCAAAGTCGCGACGTGCGATTCATAGAAACTCCTCGTAAAGTAGAAAATATAAATATGTAATTTTGTACAGAAAACTGACTGCAAGGAAGTAACAAAACACAAATCAAGCGATTTGGAGTTTGTGCTGTCAAATGAACATGCTCATGACCATGAATCGAACAAAGTTTTGGATGCACCGAGTTTACGTCCAGGTCGAGGACGCCCCCAACTTTTGAGAACAGGCAGAAGAAGGGCCAAACATACCGGAAGGCGACAGTGAACAAAATGTCGAAGAAAATATGCCGGAAGAAACTGAAGATGAAGATGAAGATGAAGATGAAGATCCCGAAGAGGAACCTACGTATGAGAGAGTCGAAGAGGACGGTAGAAACGAAAATGCAAGCACGATCAATCTCGACGATCCGAAAGATGCTAGAGAAGCACTCGCATCGACCGATGCTGAGGAATGGAAACAGGCCATGTTGACTGAATATGAAGCTCTATTGAAAAACAGCACATGGACTGGACAGTAGTTGATCGTCCAAGAAACGAAAAAATAATAAAATCAAAGTGGGTTCTGCGCACAAAATACAAGCCAAACGGCATGATAGAACGAAGAAAGGCTAGATTGGTAGCAAGCGTGGATTACGAAGAAACGTTCGCACCTGTCGCGAGAGCAAAATCTATAAGATTTATGATGGCGATTGCAGTTGAACTCGGACTGGAGGTACATCAGCTGGATTTCGTGAGTGCATACCTCAACAGTGATATTCAAGAGAAAATTTATATGGATATCCCAGAAGGGCTGATAGAAATTTACGCCAAACAAAGTTTGCCTAATCAAAAAGGCACTGTACGTACGACCTGAAGCAGTCAGGACGTCAATGGTATTTGAAACTAGACGAAGAAAGGCTTCGAGATTTGGGTTTGGAGCTGCTATCATGCGATCCCTGCATGTATTCACAGAAACTGGGAATGGACGTAACAATCGTCACAGTGTATGTCGACGATCTAATCGTGGCGTCTAACAATCAAAGTAAAATATTAAAACTGAAGCGAGAATTATCCAACTTTTTTTAAATGAAAGATTTGAGCAAGATACACACTACTGCCTAGGTACAGACAGAGTTTCATCAATCGAAGGACAAAAATGAAATTACAGTATACCAAACAAAGAAAGTATACCAACAAATGTATTGAAAAGATGAAGAACTGCAAAAACCCGTTACAATTTCGATTGATTCAAGTGTAAAATTATTGAAGGAAATATCGAATGAAGAAAAGAAAGAAGCCGAGCCCTTACCGTACCGTACCGTACCAGAATCTAAGTGGATCTCTGATGTACTTGACCACATTCACTCGTCGTCCAGACATTGCACGCGCCGTCAGTATGTTAAGCCAATTCAATCAAAATTATGGAGTGCAACATTGGAAGGAGGCGTAACGCGTATTGCGCTATTTAAAAGGTACTCAACATTATGGTCTATTCTATAAGAAAACAAGAGCGCCCCTCGTCGGCTACGCTGACGCCGATTGGGCTGGAAATAATAATGATAGAAAATCCTATACCGGATACACTTTTGTATTAGCTGGAGCATCAATAAGCTGGGAATCCCGTAAGCAACGGACTGTTGCAATGTCCACGACAGAAGCCGAGTACGTGGCACTCTCAGAAACCACGAAGGAGACAATTTACCTGAGAAGATTCATGAGCGAAATTTTTAGAGAACATAAAGCAGTGGTCATCTACAACGATGACCAGAGTGCGGGTTATTTAATTAAAACCCCGATGTATCATAATCGTACAAAACACATTGATATAAAACACCATTTCGTACATACGTGAAACGGCCGAGAGAGGAGAAATCAAGGTTCAGTATCGGCCAACGGAGGAAATGCCTGCAGACGCGTTAACAAAGGGTCTGTTAGCAACGAAGCATAAAAAATGCCTTGAAAATTTTCGAGTACAAGAAATAAACGAATATTTGTTCTAACGTTTCGGATGCATGTTTAAGAGGGACTGTTGGAAATGTTTCTCATTCCCATGTTGGCAAACATGCGTATGTTGGAGGTATTTATTTTTACCTCGTTAGCAGGCGTGCGCGCCGTCTTTTGTTTTATTTTAGTATAGTATTACACAGGCCAGTACCGGTATGATGTATGCGACGATACGTGCCATATGGATTAAACGTAACCTGAAATATGTATATGAGCTGTTTATTGTTTCATTTCTATAACCTCTGCTACAAGATATAAAATCAATTGTATATAAATTCTGACTTATTTATTAATATATAATTTATATATTTACATACTTGTTTTATATTTCAAACAACAAATTAATAGAAACTTAAATTTATTTTTAATTTATGAAATTGAGATTTTAAAAAATAGGTATGACGATTTTCCAATTCAAAACTACTGATTTTTGTTTTCTATTTTGGGGATATCCTGTGGACATTCAGTGGAATATATTATGATTAAGCATTTCTAATGTTAAGTGACCGTTGTTAAAAAAATTGTAAATATTAAGATTCATTTATTTTAAGTGTTTTACAGATTAGGAATACTGTAAAATGGCAAATACTCCCCCGAATATCGAATATCGAATATATCTATGTATTAATCATGTTGTACTTTGAAAAAGTATTATAAAGTATTATAAGTATTATAAATATTTCAAATTTTTGATTTGAAAAATAGATGTGTCCTTGTTTCTAATAAAAAAAATTTTTAATTTTTCAGAACACTAATCTAATTTTGATAAAATTGAGTTTGTAACTTTTATAGATTTGCAGAGAACAATTTGTTGCTCTCCATACTGAACCGATCCTCGAGGATTTGGCAAAGTTATTCGTTCAACATTACAGACCAATTTACACGTAAGCAATATTTACGGAATTATTTGAATTGTTTTAATTGGTTTTATAAAAGATTAATGATTTTTAATTTTTATTATTTTAGTTTTACAATGCTTTTTATCGTATTCTATGTTATGATATGTATAATATTGTTGCGACGGACTGAAGATGCATCGTTGCGGCAACGTGAAACTGCTCCTTCGAACGAGCGGAAGCGAGAGCCAGTTCCTTTCCGGTTGCCAGAGGAACCGGCAACGATTCGAAAGAGGAAGAACGACGAGAGACCTCGTAGAGTAAAGACGTGTTGACAAAGCTCTGTTAATAAAGTTTCCTATTCATCAGTTCTTAGTTTCTAGTGTTGTGTTTAGTTATTGTGTTTTAATGAGTTCAACAAGAAATCCTCGTCCCGGCGCAACAGTGGTGTCAGAAGTGGGATAGAGACTCGTTCTGCTGCCGGGGCGGAGGCTCTGTCGTCGCTGGAGTCGCTTCTGGAGGGGTTGCAGCGGAATATCGCCACTCAGTTCCAGGAGCAACAGCGAATGTTCGTGGAGGAACTCGAGCGAGCTGAGGAGCGGCGTACGACGGAGAGGGTTGCCGCTTCGGCCAGGGATGCCGCGGTCGAGGAGAGGATTGGAGCCGTGGAGGGCCAGTATCAGGTCCTGTCCTCGAATGTCGCGCGTATTCTCGATCGGCTTTCGGGAGCTCCGGTCCGCGAAAGGGAGCGCGAGCCTGTATCTTCTATCGGGCTCGCGGGCCTTTCGGTTTCGCAGCCAGTCCCTCAGAGTGTGGAGAGGGGGAATCAGAGTGTTTCCGATTTGGGCTACACTATGAAGCCCTCCATGTATGATGGGAAATCTTGTTGGGAGGAATATAAAATTCAATTTGAAACGGTCGCTGAGGCAAACCGTTGGGATGGACCAAGGAAGGCTTTGGCCTTGGTCTCATCGTTGGAGGGGCCGGCTCGAAGCATTTTGACGACTCTCCCCGTTGAGAAACGTTTTAGTTATGACGCGTTGATTTCGGCCTTGGAATTCCGTTTTGGAATGAGAAATTTGGCTAATCTAAACTATGTAATGTTTCAAAATTACAAACAACGGAGAGGGGAGTCCATCTCCGATTTGGCGGCGGAAATTGAGAGGTTAGCGCAGGCCGCGTTTGGGGATTGCCCAGTCGAAGTTAGGGACAAGCTCGCGGCCTCTCAGTTCATTGCCGCGCTAGCCAATGAGGAGATGAAGCGGACGTTGCGACTCGGCGGTTTCGTCTCATTACGAGCCGCAGTTGTGAGAGCTCTAGAGATCGAAGCCGTCGAGGCGGTGTCGACGCCGTTTATTAGACCCGAACGGTATCTCAAGCCTTTTCCTTTTTCGGAGGGGGAGTCCCGTAAAAGAAGATTCGGAGAAGGAAGACCAGCGGAGAAGGAGGGTGGTAGCAGGAGGTCTGTGGAGTGTTGGTGCTGCCAGGAGTCAGGACATATGCAGCGAGACTGCCCCAAGAGGAGCGTGAAGAAGGGAAACCTGAAGAAGTCGGCGTAGAGGGGGAGACTCCGGCTTCGTTTTCTTTTACCCCCGCCGTGAGGAAGGCAAATTTGTCTGAAGATTCTGTTAGCGTCGAGGGAATCGTCGAGGGAAGGAGGTGCCATTTCGTCATCGACACGGGCTCATGCGTGAACTTGATGAAGTTTCATAAGAATGACAAAACTTGCGCGGCGGGAGTACAAGAAAACGTTAACATTTGCTCAGTTTCCGGTGAGAAGTTACCAATTCTCGGAAAGCGACGTTTTCCTATATCTATTGGGAGCCTTGAAACTGAGGAGGATTTCCTTTTAATCGACATGGTTGAAGAGTGCATATTGGGAACGAACTTCCTCCTTAAACATTCCTGCCAATTGGATTTCATTTTGCAAAAAGTACGGATCAGAGGACATCAAGATATGGATTTGAAGAGGAATCATCTTGAAGACCGAGTTCTGCCGCTTGCGGAAGCGAAGAGTGAAGCTTCTACTCCGGGATTTCTTCAAGATCTGTACGGACGTTGCTCGCTTGATCTTTCCGAACGGCAGAAGACTGCATTCCGAGGATTGTTGAGTGAGTTTCAAGACGTTTTCACCAGGGATCCCGATCAAGTGGGAAGTTGTGATGTCGTCCAGCACAGAATTGATACCGGGGATAATCGCCCGATCAAACAACCACGTCGTCTGCCCCTGCATCGCCGTGGAGAAGTCGAAGAACTACTGGCAAAAATGAAAAGGCAGGGAGTCATTGAGAAATCGAGAATTCCGTGGTCTTCGCCAATTGTACTTGTGAAGAAGAAGGATGGAAGTACCCGATTCTGTGTGGACTATCGTCGTCTTAACGACGTATCAAGGAAAGACTCCTATCCGCTTCCCAGGATTGAGGACACGTTGGATGCCCTGGCTGGTGCAACATGGTTTTCGACAATAGATTTGCAAAGCGGTTACTGGCAAATTGCAGTAGAAGACTGCATTTTGTGTTGGTACCGGACTTTGGCAATTCAAGGTAATGCCGTTTGGACTCTGCAATGCTCCTGCTATCTTCGAACGTCTTATGGATACAGTTTTGGCGGATTTGAATTAGAAAATCTGTCTGGTATACCTGGACGATGTAATAATTTTTGGAAGGAGTTTTGAAGAGGAGATTGGAAATTTGAGAAGA